GCGGCCATGAGCCCACACACGAACGCTTCAGAAGCGCTTTGTCGGGGCAACAACGAGGTGGTCTTTCTTGTGCATTGCGAGGCCAGTCATGACGTCCATCTTGATGTCCTCAGGCTTCATTCCTTTGGGCAAGCTCCAGTCGAAACGGTAGAGAAGGTTGGCGAAGGGGATCTCGAGCATGGCGACGCCCAAGTGCATCGCCGGACACATCCTGCGACCCGAGCCGAAGGGCAAGAGCTCAAAGTCTTGCCCCTTGAAGTCCACGCCCTTGTGGTCGCCCATGAACCTCTCTGGCACGAACTCGTTCGGATTCTCTCCCCACGCGGCTTGGTCGCGGGACACGGCCCACGCGTTCACCTGCACGATCGTCTTCGCGGGTATGTCGTAGCCACCGAGCTTCGTGTCTGCGATGGTTTCACGGGGGAGAAGGATCGGGATCACGGGCTCGAGGCGGAGAGACTCTTTCACTACGGCTTTTAAGTACGGAAGATTGGCAATGTCTTCTTCGGTTACGTATCCTCTGTCTCCAATCAAGTTTCTGACCTCGGCTTGAGCTTTCTTCATGGCTTCAGGGTACTTTATGAGGTACGTCATTGCCCAAACCACGACCGCAGCAGCTGTGTCGGTTCCCGGAACAACTATGTCCTGTAATAATACGACCGAGATTGGTCAAGATTCTCTATTGGGTAACTTGGCTTAATCGGTCGATTCTTTATCCAAATATATATAGTTACAAAAAAAGAATTCGTGTAAGTTTGCCAAAAAAAAAAAAGGAGAGAAGGGGTAATTGGTAACATACCAAAATCATGGCTTTGACGTTCTCGTAAGTGAACTTAACGGAGAAAGGTTGATCTCTGTAGATTTCCATCAGAAGATCGATAAAGCTTTCCCTCTCGGGTTTCGGCCGGTTCGGGTCGAGCGTCTCATCGAGAAGCTCTTGCAAGTAAGTGTCGAGCTCCTTGAAAGCTCTCTTGAGCCGAGCGTTGAGACCGGTGACGTCATCGAGAAATCCGAGGTACGGAAAGAGGTCGGAGAAGAAAAACGTACCCAGAAGAGCTTGAGTCTCGTACAAGATGTTGATGAACCTCTTCATCTCGTTACCGTACTCGTTGTACCTTTTCCCGAACGCTTGTCTGCACACGACGCAGTTGGTGAACGACATGAGAAGTTCGCTGAGATCCACGGTGCCGGAACTGTCCGAGGCTTTGTAGATCTTATCCATCATACGCTGACACTCTTCCTCTCTGACGGGTCGAAAGCTCGCGACCCGGTTAGGGCTAAAGAGGTTGACCATGCACATCTTCCTCATCTCGCGGTAATAAGGTGTGTACTGTCCGAAACCCAGCTCACGGCCGCGGTACGACATCGTCTGCTGGCCTTTGAGCAGAGGACGAGCCGTGAAGTTGAGGTCTTGCGTCTTGAGAAGATCTTTAGATAATTCCGCGGAGGAGATCACCACGAGGCGTCTCGAGCCGATCTTCATGGAGAAGATCGGTCCGTAAAGCTTCGAGAGACGGAAAAGAAAGTGTTGCGGATTGAATTTCTCCATCTGGTGAAGGTTTCCGATGATCGGAAGCCCCTTCGGACCCGGAGGGAGCCGGACGGATTTCTTCGAGCCGCGGAGAAGGAAGAAGGCGGCCACGGCTATGGCCGCAGCCAAGATGAGGAAGAGATCCATTCTGCAAAACAATTTTTTTTTTTTTTTTGTGGGAGATATTTGCAGTGATGGGTAATGAAGTTAAAGAGTGGATTGCTTGTGTGCGTATATATAATAAAGAGTTAACGGAGGAAAAGTCAGTCGACTACTTTGAACCCGAACCATTTTTTGGATTAAAATTCTTGGTTGGTTGGTTATATTATATGGTTATTTATTTTTATATTTTATTATGGTTCCGACGGGTGACGAGACTTGGGTTGTTTTAAAAACGTGATGTTAGTAGGTGGACCGGCTTCGTTTAGTAGTTACAGATTTCATATGGGAACAAAAACATGGGAAAATTGAAATTACTTCGGATACAATTATTATACTTTCTCAAGGTTACATAATATTATTAATTGATACCGATTTGATTTTATAATTATTGGGTTTTTTTACGTTTATGTTATTGGTAGTACCTATAAAAACCATATTTGCTTTTACTTGTTACTTTGATGCATATAGGATAGGATTTAGCGTTTAGGTTTACTAATAAATTGCTTGAATTAGTTCGGAGTTAACACAATTAGAACATGCGCAATTAAGCTTATATTTTCCTAAAATCATAACAAAATGTTGAACACATTCAATTATTAAATACAACACTAAAATTATTTAAAAAAATAAGTGTATTCTAAAATAATATAAATACATCATTTCAGTTAAATATCATACCTTTTCTAAATTAGAGAAAATATCAATTAATTCTTCATAATTAATCTTATAAAAGTTAGTTATTTATTTCGAATACTTTTTCTATCGAGTTAACTTTTCATTTCTTTTTTTCTTAAACTGATTTTCTAATTTGAAAAGAAATAACTGAATAATTAATTAAAATAAAATATGTAAAAAGAACTAAAATTTGAACATTTACAAATCTAATTTGTTATGTCAAATTTTGAACTCTATCCTCATATATCACGTTAAAAATAAATATAAAATTCAAAAAATGGTATTGTTAAGTTGTTAACAACAATTAAACCATTAACATAGATGTTAGAGATATATAATATATATACTAATATCTCTAGTCTTATCAATAATATGATTTCGGTCTTATAAGTATTTTATAGATATACATGATTTAGTTTACATTTTTCTATTAAGATTTAAACTATTTTGTGTGTGTACATTTATTTTTGCAAATCTTGTCAATAAATGATATTTCTACATGTATTAAAATAATGTAAAAAACATATACAAATTAAAATGAATAATTAAATACCTTATAATTAAAATGATCGCATCTATTAAAAAAATATTATAATTAATATTTATATGTACAACATAGAAATTAGAAAATAGAAAGAGAGAATGATTTCGGAAAATAAAAATTGATTCAAAAGATTGTAATGGATATATTTTTTTATTTTTATGTTTGGATACATATAGAAACTTATGGTAATTGGTAACAATGTCATAACTTTAATAAATGTCCATAAAGAACAAAACTGTTTTTTTTAATAGATTAGGAATTAATACATTGATGTCAATTTGTGGTGTGGATATGTCAATGTCAGGCAAGTCTCTGTTTAGATAAGGGAGAGTCTGGGATATTTAAAAAATTCGCATATTTATTTAGAAATTTGAAATAATCCATTTATTTTTTTGTGTTAAATTCGCATATTTATTTAGAAATTTGAAATAATCCATTTATTTTTTTGTGTTAAAGGATATGGCTCCAAACAGGATTTGGAGGGTATTTATGATATAATGCTTTTTAAAATGAATTAAAGAATCTGGGTTATTTTCGTAAAATTGCAAAATGGAACTTGAATTTTTTTTTTTGTATTTAATTTTAGGTGGAAAGCCACTTTCTATTTTTTATATAACGTTTAAATAGAAAATAAATAAATATACTATTTTTTTCCACAAATAAATATACTATTTAGTATAAAGATTTGACTTTTAGGGTTTCGTAAACTGTTCTCCGGTCGAATAAAAACAACATGAAATTCAACTTTGGGGAATAGAGCTCTAAAGAAAATTCATGGCAAGAAACTTGCCTGAAATTGAAATTGCAGCGTACATCTTTGAAAAAAACCCAAAAATGTTTTCTTTACAAAAAGACCTAAATAAAAGTTAAAAAAAATAATTCTGGTTCAAATTCGAATTTCATGAATGTAATTAACTGTAGATTGTGTTCCGATTCAAAATTTTGTTGTTACAGGATTGAATATGTGCGGATAACATATATGTTTACAATGACCAAATTACCTTTTTTCTTTGTCAGTATTACAAATATACCGTATATTCTCCGAATTTTCTAAAACGAAAATACGTTTTTCGGTTCGTACGTATACAGATACTCGTATATTTTGAACGAAAAGTGAAGTTTCGGTAGAAACCCAACTCTCGCCACTAATACTAAAACAACGGGCTACTGTTGATTTTCAAACCCTAATAAAATCTAGAAAAAATTCAAAAAAAAACTCTAAACTTCTCAATTTTTACAAAATAAAATCAAAATTTTATTTTTTATCAAATAAAATCTCAATTTTATTTTTTAGTAAAAAATAAACTCGAACTTTATAATCTTTAATATTTTTAAATCTATTGTTGACATAGCGCTCCGAAATCGTAACACGTGGATGACGACACATCAAATATAGTCAAATTGATTTAACATATAGGATGTCGAAACGTTACGTTAGTAATAGATTTAGAAATGATGTAGATTATAAAATTTTGGATTTATTTTTTATTATGGTTTAAGATTTAGATTTTATTTTTGTTAAAATTGAAAAGTTATGATATTTTTTTTGAAATTTTGTAATCAACATAACAACCATGTAATCATAACATGGTGACATTCGAAAAAGAAGAGTAGGAATAGAAGTCAAATGAAATATATTTTTGATAATGCCCTTGATTTCGGGGCCGGCTGATATTGGGTGGACGAGAGAGTTGAGTGGTACCCACATGTTGATTACCGCGACCAAGCTCCTCCGATTTCGACGATCATGTATATATAATATCCTAGGAATAATATTTTCCTATAATGTATTCTATATATCTCACAGAATCCGAACGCATCCTGCTACGACATCAGTGTCCGAAAATCAGCTATTACTTAGCCCTAGATAGAAACGCCATGGCCGTAAGCTTAGTCGCGTGAAAAGAAAGAGAGAAAGCTTTTGGGTGATCTGAAATTAATAAAGAAGTTCCAAGAACGAAGGAAGAGCAAAACAATGAACTTCTTAAATTCAGACAAAACAAAGAAACTCCTTGGACTTTCGAGATCAACCATCAATCTTCCCTTACAACAAAAAAAGAATTGAGACCTCGAGCTGAGATCATCTGAGCCTATTATTACTAACATTCATCACCAAACTGTAATAGAAATATATAAAATTACCGGACTCGTTCTCGCAAGATGCGAAAACGCTTAACAAATCTCCCATGCACATACGTCTCAAAGAGGCCGAGTGTGTCGTCCCTTGGCCCGTCCGCAGAGAAGGGCATTCTTCGGAATCGGGAATTCGTCTCTTAGAGAGGTCGATGTCGTGAATACGCGCAAATAAAGCTGTTGTCCGAGGTACTGTCTTGCCCAAAACTCCGACCTCAGGTTCCACATTCCCACGTTGTCTAGCGCGATGTAGATTGCTGTCCATGATTTCGGATACACCTGAATCCATAGAGTTTACATATATACGTAAATTATACTTGCGGTTTAATAACAATACCCAAAAAAAGTCGCGAACGAGGCTTCACCTGAACAGTAGAACGAGAAATAGCGTCCCGTAGATTGTACCCGTTTCTGCTCGCGACGGTCCATTGCCCACCGTCCATTCTACGTTACATCGGATAACGAAAACGTTCATCAAATTCAAACACTACGATTTTACCAAACCCGAGAAAAAGGCGATGGATGAGGAGATATACCCGACGACCCAGAAGGCGTAACCATCGAGATGATAGCTCTGGACAATATCTTCGTTGTTCTCAAACACGATCTCCACGAATGTTCTGTAATCGGCCTGCAGAACCGAGGTGTCTAGATACATGCCTCCTCCTGTAGGTCTGTCGGATATGCTGTTCACTTTGTACACACCGCTGATCTGGAAGAAATCGGCGAGCTTCAGAGGCGTATCGGCTGGGACGAAAGAGACGCTGTTCAACGCGTACCTCTGCTTGCCGTTGATTTGCCCGGCAGAGCTGCCGAATCTGATCGTTCGGGCTAAGCTCACCAGACCGTAATGGTAAGAACCTTGTGGGTTCGGTCTCGGTCCACTAGCCGTCAAGTTTGTCCTGAAAATCCCAAAATCGCAACCAACAAATCCCGAATCTTATCAACTAAACCCGAATCTGAATGTTGAGATAACAAACTTCAAGACATCGTTTTGCTCAATCATCGGTTAATCGGCTCGACCGTACAGTTGTTTTTTAAGCAAGAAACAGGTGATTGTACTTTATGGCACAAACATGATTGAAGGACAAATACATCTACGGTCTACCAAATTCTTATGTTATTTGCTAAAACTGATCTTAACAAGGGCAATAATGTAATTATATGTATCTAGGGTTCTTAAGATATGATCCTCATAGTACATTAATCTATAAATTCCATAGACATCTATTGTATAAAGCATTATTTACCAAATCTTTTGGATTTGAAAATACATTGCAAGAACTAAATTCCCATTCCAAGCTACAGATTCTGATGGTATATGCCAAAAACCGTTAAAAACATCTAAACACCAAACATCAAGAATTCACGTTAGTCGGTTTTCGGGTATAAGACCTATCAAGACATGGTTTTGGCCGGTTTAGGACATGAACATATATAGTTACCCTCAAAGCAAGAGACCGAGGAGAACGTACCTTATGGCGCGTGCCTGATTCAAGGACCAGTCGACCTGAATCGTGGGACCACCGGGAATGGGGCCAGAAGCAGGGGTAGAGGAGCCACTGTACCGGAGAATACCGGTCGTGGTGTTGATTTTATCGGTGAACCGAGACGAGACGACGACGTAGTAGTCACGCGCGGGCTGATCAGCCGTCACGAGGACAGAGTAAGACTGGCCGACATGAACGTCAAGCGACGAGAATGTCGTCTGAAGAGTATGAGTTCCTTCCACTTCCACGAGCTTCATCTTGTGGTTTTGGATCCTGAAGTTGAGAGAGTTCTGCAATCCCACGTTTGATATCCTCAATCTGTATGTTTTTCCTGAAAATGAAAAAAATACGAAATAAATTCCAACAAAAATATTCAAAAAAGAAATCCAAAGCATTATTTTTTTGGTTTTATGTTTTTAAATGAGAGTTGTACGGAAACGCACCTTGTTCAACGTTGAAAGTGGCGCCACTGCTGCGGCCATTGATGAGGATACCGTCTGGGTTAGGCAGCTTCTTCCCCCTGTCAAGGCGAGCCTTCAAATCCTAATTAAGAGCAAAAAAAAAATAAAATTAAAAATTTTGAAAAAAAAATTGCTACAGTGGCCCAATCTAAATATCTAAACCCGTATACATTGAACAATCCCAATCCCAATCCCAATCATATTTTATAAAAAAAAATCACCCAAATGATTCAAAACAAATAACATATATATAACGGTATTCGAACTAAATTTAATATAAAAATCGAATAGGTATAAAATTTTTAAACTAGAAAATTCCTAATAGCACCCGAATATGAAAATAACCAAAAAAATCGAAATCCGAATAAAATCGAAAATTTCTTTAGAACTAAAATATCAAACCGAACCGAACCGAATCCAACGATAAACCGCCGATGAAGTAGAATTTTTTCTAAAGTTATAGACAGATCAAAGCAATGAAACTATTTATATCCTGTCAGAATAACTATAGATAAACTCGTTCACTTATTACATATAACATAAACCGATATTGAGGTTGAGAAATTGGTAGTTACCGTGTGATTAGACTTGTACCAATCGCCGATGAGGACGGTGTAATCGCCGGCAGGCTGGTCGAAGGGGACCGGGATGAGAGGGCGGCTGAGGATCCGGATGCCTCCGAATCCTCCGGCGGCTTTGTGGAAGGCCAGAGAAGGGAAGTAGTAGAAGCTTCCGATTTGGTCCTTCACTTGCAAAATGTAAGTGTAGTTCCTTCCCGGTGGGATCGGACATGTTGTTCCGTACACTCCGTCCACGTACGAGTTCCTCCTGTTCTGTACTCCGTTCCTGTCACCACCACCACCAAAGTTAGAATTATAGACATCTACAATTGACGTTTCGTACCAATACATAGAATCTAATTTTAAGTTGGAAATTTTAATTGATATATAATCTAATGGTGGAGTCAAATTTCTAATTCTTTTTGTAATTTTCCTAATTAGTTACTACAAATAACATGTAACGATTTGTTTTTTTTTTATATTTCAAATATGGCAGAAATATTAAATACGATCAAACAAAAATAATGTGATACAGTTTGCCCATGTTGCAAGCGAGCTTTAAAGTCTTTGGTTTTTATTATCACGTAAATTATTTTTTCAAGAAGGAAAAAGAAAAGGGAATAAAGGAAGTCATGAAAACGGCATGGAGAGAGAGAGGGGGCGTGTGTGGGGTCTACTACATGAAACGACGCCGTAAGTCCAAAGACATGCCGACATAATTTACCAAAGGAGTGGAAGACAGCTAATTGGAAGCAGGACACGTGGGAACACATGAGTGTCAAATATCAGGGGATTTGCTTACATAATATATATATACACATATATACATATAATATATATATACATATATGTGTGTGTGCGAGGGGATGCAAGATCAATGTGCTGAATAGTCAAAAAAAGCTGCACCTATTTCGATCTTTTTATTCTTTTTAATCTTATTTGTCATATTTCCTCTGTAAGTTATATTTATTATTAAATATAATTTTAAAAATAATAATTTTTTTTCTAAAACTAAATTATTATATATACTGAAAAATCAAATTGAAACAAAAGTTATTAGAAAAAAATAGTAATGAAAATAAACGGACATATAATTAAAATCTATTAAATCCAATCTACTTTTTTCCTAGTTCCTTGTCTTTAATCAATTTACAGAAATAATTTCCTCAGAATGATTAATTTTCCCGTGACTCTTAGATCTAAAAGGAAATTGGACCGTCGCAAAAAAAAAAAAAGTAAATTGGATCATACGATGGGTGCATGCATTGGGTAGAGTGACTTGAAGTATCGACTTGATAAAATAAACTTATAGAAATCATGATCCATAGGAGAATGATTTGAAATATATAATTATTACATTATAGTTTTCCTAATTATAGATATGAACATGATAAACGGAAAATTATATAAATATATTTATCCATTTTTTTTAATCACACAAAAATATACTAGATTATAATCGACATTGACAAAAATTAAATTCCAAAGAATGACAATAACATATATATATTCACACACACAAATGCACAAGGAAAGCAGATCTAACTGAAATCGCATTATCTCCTCATTTGAGTATCCCATTTAAGCCCTTCTAAGTCAAAATAGCAAAAGCCAGATAGCCACAAATGATTGAGGATAATTTTGTAATTTTGAGTAGAACTAACTAGGGGAAATTTGAAATTAGAACTTAATCATACTTACCATGAGATTAGGAAAGGCTCGTCCAAGCTGTTGAATACGTTAATTATGAGATTATCATTTGTCACGGAATGAATGTCCGGTCCCGGAAATTGTCCATTTATCAATATGCCCTGTTTTTGTTTTTAATTTCCAGAAAAAGGAAAAAGAAAATTAGCATTTTAATTAAATAATCAAATCGATAAAGAGAGAAAAAAATCAACATTTACTTGGAGGGGGTTTTCCACGTATTACCTGAAAATTTTATTAAATATTTATTTGACATTTTTTAAGTTCATTGGACAAAGTAAAACGATGTGAATATATATATATATATATGTACGTATATATGCATACGGGAAACACATCAAACCATGGCAAATATGGAAATTATTTAATCGAAAGCTATGCTACGTGTAATACCATGTTCTACGTAAAGATTAATTCCATAATGATTGTCGACGATATGCGCATTATTATACATGAGTCAGTATATGTATGTGTGCGTAGCGTATCTGTAAGTAATGATGACCTGTTGGCGAACGCCGAGGGGATAGATGTCGCCGTAAGTGACGTTCCATTCGAAGAATCTGTACGGACTCTCGCCGGTGACTGCGGCGACGAAGATGGAGAGACATAAAATTACGGCGGCGCGTGGGCTCACCGCCATCTCCGGCGTCCGGAGGGAAGCTAAAACGACGGTGTTTCGACTGAGAGAGAGAGAGAGAGAGAGAGATGGAGAAAGAGTGAATGATGCGTGACAAAGGGGTTCGTGAATTTAAGTGCGTTGGTGTGTGTGTTTGATTCACTGCGGAGCGAGAGAGAGAGAGAGAGAGAGATCCAAGTGACGAGACGATTTCAGGTATAATATTATTTTTTTGGGTAAAGAATTGTTTTGTAAGAATATAAATATGTTTGAATAAATTTTCGTCTGGCACAGGAGATTGTTAGGGACTTAGGGGTATATAGAATCGAATTTAATCCAATCCAAGTATATAATCAATTAATATTCAGACTAATTAATATAAAAAAATTAATTGGTCATAAATTTTACAAAATTAAGTTATTAAAAACAAATAAAAAAATGAATAAAAAGTTTTTTTTTTTTGAAAATGATATATTTAAAAATCAAGTAGACATGATTTTTTATTTTATAAAATCCAAATAATTAATTTAAATAAAAATTGAAATAAAACAAAAGTACGTATTCCTACAAATATCTATTTAAACATAAATGAACCAATTTAACTAATTTTCAAAATGATCTGTGCTATATAAAACATATATTTTATAATTATGGTAGATATCAAAATATGTTTGAAAACAAAAAGAGTCCATCTCATTAATAATTTTTTCTCTATTACCATTATTTCTTATGAAATTGTATTATGACTTTCATAAAAAAAAATTGTATTATGACCTAAATAATTCATTAATGCTGAAGACGTAATTTTATGTTGTCGTGGCTTGAATCTACTTGAACACTACTTATTTCATGATACTTTTATTGATATCATGTTTCGATATTTGCAATTGTAAATCAATTAAAGAAAATGTTTTTTGCAACAATTTCTTAAATCCAAACAATTTTAAATTATTAACAAAGTAATATATATATATATATATATATTAGATATTTAAACAAAAAATATAAATGTTTAAAGAGCATATATATATTCATTATGAAAAACAATAATCCTTTCAGTATTTGCTATATTAACAAATATATGTACACACCCTCTTGTCTGGGTACACATCTCCACCATGTTTGTCTATGTTCATTGGTGGAATTTAAACAAGTGAAATCGGTGTATATAATTCCAACAACTTTAAATTAAAATAAAACAAATAACATTTTGACCGATTTGTTTATATTCTTTTTTTATAAAATAAAATATATGAAAAATGAGTGTCGGTGGGAGTCAGCTAGTGGGTGTGTCTGCCATGTGGTTTAGTTTTAACGCGGCACTGTGAATTCAAGTTTTTTTATTTTTTATTTCAGTTTTTTCAATATTTTCTTTTTGTTTTGACTTGCACATGTTACTTGATTTACAATTTATTTCAGAATAATTAGAGAGAGAACATAAATGAACTAATTTTATGCGAAATTATTTTGAGATTATTTTATTATCATAAGTCGGTCGAGTTATGAGAAGTTGAATCTCGTGAACTTATCGCATATTCTTCGCCGCAGGAAAAAAAAATGTTACTGAAACGGTCTCTCAATTCCTATGAGAAATTAAAAAAAAAATTACTGTGCATTATATAAAAAATTAGTGAACTTATTTATTTTCAATATTTTTATACTATGACAATTCTATATAATATATAAAATACATATTAGTGCTAAAATATGTTAAGTAAATAATAAATATATAAGTTAAGTGATATTACAAAAGCACGTGTAAGACATTTATAAGTAAATATCTCGTATAAGTATGTGAAAGGTTTGTAGCAAATAAAGTGTGTTATATAATATATAACTGAATTTCTAACTTGATATACAATTTTTATTATCACATAAGTAAATGAAAAATTTTAACCGTTATCGATATCATATCGATGTACAGAGGTAATAATCCAAATAAAAGAAGTTGACATTTACAAATTCACATTTATATTGTGTTAGAACTACAAATACTTCACCGACAATATTCCAATTTTTTATATATTTACGTGGTCATACGAAAAAATAATTATATATTTCTTTAGATAGTTTTTTTACTATATAAATATACTACTAAATTATAAATAACAACGAAGAAATTCGAACCTTCATAAAAAAAAAAAAAAGCAAGATCCTGATTAAGCGGAAAACACAACTGAGTCAAACTATTTTTTATCTTTTGAGTTTCTGAGCTATATAGTCTGATCCAATCTCACATCATGCTTATAATATTTGTCTGAAATTATATTATTATGTATTTTTTGGGTAAAATATTATTATGTATTTTTATTAAATTTAAAATATATTTAAGATATTAATAAATATAATAATCTTATGGAGTTTTATAAAAAAAAATAAAATTGAGAATTATTAAAATTTTAAACAGGTTTGTACATTTTAAAATTCTTGAGATAAAATTAGAACTGCAACTCATTCCGAGTATTCTCCACAAATCCAAGGTAAATAAAATATTATATTATCGTCAATGATAGAAAGAAGCCACTAGAAACATGACATCCGGTTACTTATCATATTTTGATTACATGTACCAAATCCAAGATTCTGCTTAAAAAAAAAAAGGTTCTGAAAATTGTTTAGTTGGAGGATTAGGCAAACCATTATTAATTTAGTGTTCATAATCTGATTTATTGCTTCCAACACTTATTTTTTATTATTTTATAAATACTTGAGACTTTAGATACAGTAAGAGAAATTATAACAGTTGTGAACTTCTCGTTTATATGATTTTAGAAAAAATAAAATACCGAAACTATTAATGGAAATATGGTTTCTGTTTTAAATAACTGGTTTATTTATCGGTAAAATATATTTACTGACTAATAAATATTTTTAGTAAATGCTAAATAACGGATAAAGAGTATTATAATTTTTAATATTTAATCTTTCTAAAATTTATTTTTTTGAGACAAATCACATATATAAAAAATATTTCATCCATATATATATATAGCATTTTATTAGTAATAAAAAATATTTCCCGGTTCTGGCGGCTATCAGACAATGTCCACTCTAGTGACTTTGTTTTATCAATCAACTTTTTTATTAAAAAAGAAAAAGTAAAAAAAGCCTTTCAAAATCAATGAACTGGAAAACATCATAAACTAAAACCCATCATGAAATCTTTTCCGTTACGTCAAAAAATACATACGACTGCACATTCAAAAAAATTTCCACATTTGATATAATTATTCTCCACAAAAAGATTAAATTTTGTGGGGATAAGTTACAGACCCTCAAATCACGCCGTTTAAAGAGGGTAATTTATTAACATGGACGACCCACTTAATCACACTGCTTAATTGGACGACAAATTTGAATTGGAATTCAAATTTATAAATCAAAATTATCTACCAGATTCGGGTTCAGAATTTGTGATTCTATCTGTTTGAAATGATTTTTAGTATGAGTCATCATTTTGGATTTTGATTCAGATTCCGTTTATTTATATTCGGGTTTGATTATTTCTATTATACAAAAACTATAAAGATTCGATTTTTATATTAACTTCGATTCGGGTCGGTTTTATTTTGTTTAGATTCAGTTTAGTTTCGATTTATTATTGATAAAAACTCAATTTTTTCGAAGAGATTTTCGATTATTTTTTTATTTGATTCGATTTGAATTTGGTTATTTCGGATTTTAAAAAAATCATAATCGTTCAACTTTTATACCAGATTCGGTTCGATTACGGTTATATCTTTATTTGATTAAGTTCTTAATAACCAATATATAAAAAAAATTATTTATTTTTTAAGATCATAAAAATACTCCAAATATTTATAAAAATATAAAAATGGTCTTTTATCCTAAACCTACATACATAAAATCAGGTTTAAAATTTTACTATCCCATACCGATTTTTATATCACAAAGTTTTTAGTATTTATTAACAGATATATTTAAAATTTGTTATACAAAGACGAATTATATTTATGTCTACCTTCACTTTCACGGTTCATGAACGCTTCACTATCTTTTTTTTTTTAACAAACTGACTCTCATCATGTAAAAAGAGGTTTACGGTTGTCAATTGACTGCATGCATACATTTTCCATATATACATACATATGACTCTATAACAAAAAAACTATCAATAAGTTATAAACTCATTCTCTGAGGTAGAAAAATTTGGAAATAAGGATTGTAGGGCTTTACCCCAGAGGGAGCCCTTCCAGAAATTCTCGAGGGCCAGGGTCAAGCCCAGGCCCAAGAGGGGGTTTGGAAATAGTTTTCAACCAGCAATAGACGCGCCTCGGTTTTTACCTCATTAGCTGCGTCATTGCCCCAAGCGCAAAGATGCCTTCCACCGCACAGCCCCAGCGCCTTTTATTTTCCACCTCGCCTGGTACCCTCGTTCCATCTTCCGATGTGGGACGAAAAGCATAAACTCAATTGTAATCTGGGCTGTATCTAAATGGGCCTAGGCCCACAGTCCAATTTTGACTTCCATCAAACCCATTAAGCAAAACGCAGCGCATGGTCCGCGACATTATTATCTACATGACATGTGGGGTCGACATTATATATCATCTCTCTCTTATCAGTAACGATTTATAAAGATATTATTGCCACTACTGATTTTATTTAAAAATCTTATACATACAATATTTAAAATACTATACATTATGTTATACGATAATTGCTCATCTTGAACAAATTCCATGTTCTACTAGTCGTTGGATTTTAGCGGTGATCATCCCGGGATCATGCTTCTTATAAAATAAAATTTAATCGATCGAATAATATTTAACTGCGTATATCGAATCGGCACCAAAAAAAACTATGACAAACTAATATTTAGATATAATATATATTTGTGAAAAAAATATAACAAAAACTCTATATTTTTGTGTCCTCACAATTTAAACTGCATAAAAATTCTCATTTTTGTTTCACACCGAAAAATTAATTCTCAAACTTAGATACTTCTATAAAAACTATTCAACTTCAAAAATTTACCATTAGAATACCTAAACTTGTAAAAAACAGTCCAAACGAAAATTTGATCAACCTTCACCACAAATATCGTTAAATGGGACTGACGTGACAATACGAATACTATGTCTCGTCATATTTTTTATGCCACGTCACCCAAATTTAGAGTTTTTAATTTGGACCGATTGAACCGGTATTAAACCGAATCGGTTCAATCGGTTTAATTTAAAGAAATAAATAAATAAACTTTTCTTCAGCGAATCCGTTCCAAATCGTCGGGAGGATTAGATGAATTCTATTTAGTTTTGATTCACTTTTACGTATCCAAAAGATCATTAGGAATTTTAGGATAATCAACTGGTAAAATTATTATGCTCTATGAGTTTTCATCCATAAACATGAACATGTTAAGTACCTATGGATCAGAGCAAACGTCTTCAAAGGGAGGACTTACTGGGAATGCCCACAAAACGTCGGGACAACATGGAATTTGAAGAAGTTGCTACGGCTGAAGGAACGAGCCAGGGAGTTCACTAGGATCCAGCTTGGAGATGGAGGAGACGCATCCTTTTGGTATGACAGTTGGTTGGAGATTGGACCTCTCATTGAGTTCATCGGGATGGTCGGACCTCGCCTCCTGAGGTTACCGAAGACAGCGAGAGTTAAGGATGCAGTCCACGAGGGAAGTTGGCTAATCCGAGGAGCAAGGAACGAGCGGGTTCAACAACTACAGACCATACTCTCGAGAATGGAACCCCCAAGCCCGGACAACGGCTCTGACCAACCGCTTTGGAGAAAGAATGACGACAACTATCATCCGACATTTGTCTCAAGACTTACGTGGGACAAAATCAGAACCCCGGCTGCTCCGGTTTCATGGTTTGGCCTGGTATGGTTTGAGAAAGCCATACCCAGGCATGCATTCCTCTTATGGCAGGTCCTTCACCAAAGACTACCGACTTCGGATAGAGTGGCTCGCTGGGGGATACAAGGGCCGAGTCGATGCATACTATGCCGGAAGGAAGTTGAAACCCTATCTCACTTATTCTTTTGCTGCGAATATAGTGCGGATGTGTGGCTCTCCCTTGCAGGAAATCTTGGAGGCTCTCCCCCTAGAGTGGTTGTGGACGCCGGGCCGTGGATTAATCAACATCTCATGACAACCCAACGAACAACAAAGCTAATCAAGAGTCTTCTCTTGCAGCTAGTAGTATACGAGATTTGGAAGGAACGTAATGGACGGACACATAAAGACGTCGCAAACTCGCCACAACAATTGTGGTTCAAGATCGATAGGATAATGCGGAACATACTCATATCTTTGCACAAGCCGGATTCTACCGGATCAAATGACCCCCTCCAACAATGGTATCGCCTTATGTATTATGACTGAGATTTAAGTCTTCGTTATTTTTGTTCACTTGTAATAGGAATCATTATCTCTCGGGATCTGTGGTACATGTTAAACTCATGTAAACCTTCGGGTTATTTTTTGGTAGTAATATAACAATCACATTAAACCAAAAAATGTTAAGTACCTATGGTGTCACAATTAAATAAAAATAATAATAATAATTATTTGAACAAGGTGAACCAAAGAAAAATAAATGTTGACGTATGACTGTTGACCGTCCAATTTGTCGGCGGTTGATTATTTCATTATTCATGTGTAAAAAACAATACTTGATTTTTTTTGTACACAATGTACAATCATAATATAATTTATTGGGTAATGGAAAAATCACTCTTACAATATATACAATAGTTTTTACGTGAACTTATCTCAATTAGTTCCATCATGCAAACCCATATAATTGAAAGTTGATGGTAAATATTATGGTTAATTAATCTAGATAGTACAAAATGTAGGTTGGTCCATCGCTATTTAAAACCATTTTTTAATCACACTTAGCAACAAATGAATCAAAATTAAACAGTATAATATTATAATTATTAGTAATTTGGAAAAAAAACGATAATATTCCCAAATCATCATTGGTGTTGGGTGGTGGCCTTTCGATGACATTATTAGAGATATCATATTAGAGACATCAAAACCAACTAAATAATTGAAAATTTTATCAAGACTTTAATCAAAAATTGCTTATTAGTTGTAAATCACACCTCATCTATTAATTATTTCAAATTAGATAAACCAAATAATATAGAAATTGCATTCGAATCTAACCTAATTTGAAATCGTTTAGATATAACTTTTAACAAACCAGAGGTACTGAAATAAATATCTAATATAATAATAATTTAAAACTAGAAAAATATTTATTTCAGACACAGGCACACACCAGAAATAAAAACTATTTTCGAATTCTAATAATAGATAATCTCTTTTATTATATTTAATATTTATATAGAAACAAAATGATTTTTTTTCTCATCTCAATCGGTTATTGATAAGTTTTTGCTGGCCCGAAGAATTCCCTAGTCTCTCTACTGTCCAATATATACATAAGAAACGTGTTACAACTTACACTTGCATATACATATACATATATATATATATATATGTATATCCATGAGGTAATTTGCATTAGATCCTGTATAACTATATGTTATCATTCCTTTTATCTTTTAACGGTTAAACACTATTTATATTCTTAGTTATGGAATTACGAATTAAAATATATTTTTATTATGCAATTTAAATATAAAATTTGTTAGTAGTCATGACAGATATCTCTCGCTTTTTTTAGATTGTTTCTCCCAACAACAAATTTATTTTATTTTTTTGTACTATTTTCATAACAAAATATATTTTGGATTTATCGATATATAAATTTATTCAACGTGACAGGTAAAACAAAATATGCAAATGATATCAGAGCCTTACCGACTAGCTTTCATATTTTTTCCCCTTAATAATTTTACATGGATAACATTTTCATACATTTATTTTAAAAAAATATGATTATATTTCAATCCCTATCACATCAATACCTACCAAAATTATGGTTCTTATAATCGACAAGGTGCTTGAAATGTTTTGATATTTTTCATAATCACTCTTTCTTGAGTGAGTTTGTGCATGTGTGGCAGGCTATAAGCATTTCCTAATGTTTCTATAAGTTAGAAATCTTCTAAAATCGGAAAAAAATTATTAGAGTATCTGAATTCAATCGAACTTATAATCATCATTTCTTTTTTGGGTTCAAAATATCGACTCAATCTATTACTAACATAATTTATATATATATATTTAAATATGTTATATCACATGCATGAATCTGCTTTGAATATATGGACAGACCAAAAACCTTGTCCATCTATGAGTCAACGTTATCTTAATTTACCTAATTTACTCTCCCGTCATCTAAAATTTCACACACAGAAAAACATATTTACACACACACACACTGTGTATATATATATATATATATATATATATAGACCTGACAGATATTTATCGCGCTTCGTGTCTTGCAAACCTCAGCTTTCTCTCCATTTTCATCTCTGAAAAAAAAAAACATTGACTTCAGAATAATAAGGTAATGGAAAACGGCAACTCCTCGGCCGAGAAGAAGACCGTACGGAAACCGATTCGATGCAAAGGTCAGTGAAACGACGTCGTCTTCGTCTTCTTCATCTTCTTCGTAGATGTATTTTGCGTTGACTCGGGATGATGGTTTGTGTCAACGCCAGCGGCGGTATGTCGGAAGGCGGGAGAGGCGTTGGTGATGGAGGAGATAGTGGTGGCTCCGCCGGAGCCGTACGAGGTTCGTGTACGGATCATTTGCACCGCCCTCTGCCACAGTGACGTCACCTTTTGGAAACTCGATGTGCGTTGGTTCCTCACCATTGTATTTTAGTTCTTGCTATTATTTCATTACAGACGCATTTTCGTTATTTTATGATTATAAGATAGATGTTAAAATATGAATATTTGTTTTGGAATTTGGTCCTATGATTTACTGTGGCAACATTTTCGATACAATCTATCTCTAGTAATATATGGATTCTCTTCTTGGTAATTAAATGTGTGTGTGTATATATTATTTTTTTAATATAAAGACTTTTTTTTTTGCATATTTCAACGGTTGTCTTACGAAGATGCCTCCTGGTTGCGTTCCGAGGATTCTGGGCCATGAAGCCATTGGGTTAGTTCATTTTCTTCTATACATATATATATATATATATGTATATATATTCTATTTGAATTTTATACTTTGTAAATGATAGGTAGGTAGGAATCTTCTGATTGTTTTAGTCAATCAAAAGAAAATAATAATAACAGGATTAAAAATTAGTCAAACGAAGCTCTCTGATCTTATCTCTGCATATTTATAATATTATTAATATATAGCATCGTTTGCTCCTATTTTTCTTTTTTAATTTTAGTTGATAAAGACTAGGCAACTAAAACTGTTTAAATATGTTAGTTTCCTATTTTCACTCTCCAACGCAATTTAAAAATGTAGAATTAAATGAGTGAATGTTTTAAAAAAAACAAGAAAAATTTATAGATTTTTATTCGACGTCCAAGCTTTGTGTTGAAGTGAGTGTTAAAAACTCAAGTAATAGCTTCATCTGAAAACGAATAAAAATCTTTGTCTGAATCTGGAAGAGTGGTGGAAAGCGTTGGAGACAACGTGACCAATTTGTCGGAAGGAGACACGGTGTTACCGACGTTCATGGCGGACTGCGGAGAATGCCACGACTGCATATCGACAAGAACCAACCTCTGCAGCAGGTTTCCCTTCAAGGTCTCGCCATGGATGCCAAGATACGAAGATTCAAGTAGATTCACAGATTGCAACGGGCAGATTCTGTTCCATTTCTTGAATGTCTCGAGCTTCAGCGAGTACACCGTTGTTGACGTCGCTAACGTCGTCAAGATCGACCCTTTTGTCCCTCCAAACCGAGCATGTCTCCTCAGCTGTGGAGTCTCTACAGGTACCATAAGAAGAAAGAGGGAAGGAAAAAGGAAACGGGCATTTAGATTTGATCCGTTAATATATATGATTCGAATATCTGAATTTGATTTCATGTGAGATGGTATTTAGATCTGTGTTTGCAAATGATGTTGCTTGTATAGGTGTTGGCGCCGCGTGGGAAACGGCTAAGGTTGAAGAAGGGTCTACGGTTGCAATCTTTGGACTCGGTTCCATTGGATTAGCGGTAAATTCGCCTCCGAACCCCTTTGTTATTTCTCGGTCTTTTGGTACGAGGAAAACGTGGAACAGTGTAAACCCATTGCTGAAAATTGAATTATGGATGAGGAGCTAAAATCGTGTTTCTTTGTTCTTCTTGATTTCCCAGGTTGCCGAGGGAGCAAGACTTTGCGGCGCCTCCCGGATCATAGGCGTGGATATAAATCCCGAGAAATTCGAAGTCGGTCAGTAATTCTCTATCCGAAATCTGTTTCTTGAACCTCTGCCGCCGAGAAGATTTTCGTTCTCAACACGTGTCTTGCCATTGCAGGCCGGAAATTTGGAGTGACCGATTTCATTAACTCTAAAACATGCGTCGATGAGCCGGTGAGCGAGGTAATGCCAATATACACAAGCTAATGAAGTCTACAGATTCATGGAAGGAGTCGGGCAAGACATTTCAATATCGATCTCAATGTGTTTAGGTGATCAAAGATATGACCGGTGGAGGAGCAGACTACTGCTTCGAGTGTGTAGGTAGCAGCTCGTTGGTTCAAGAAGCTTACGCCTCCTGCAGACAGGTACACATTATCTACCTTATGTCCAAATCCGACAAGAGCAGATAAACAAGAAAGAAATCAAAGATTTAGAAAACGTGACACAAGTTAAAAGTTCGAATATGTGAAATCATCAGGGCTGGGGAAAAACCGTGATGTTGGGGGTGGCAAAGCCGGGATCTCAGATCTGCCTAGACTCGTTCGATGTTCTTCACCACGGGAAAACATTGGTGGGTTCCCTTTTCGGAGGCCTTAAGGCCAAAACCCACATTCCTCTCCTCCTGAAGAGATACCAGGACAACGAGCTCGAGCTAGACAAGTTCGTCACGCATGAGATGAAGTTCGAGGACATAAACAAGGCTTTCGAGCTGCTTATGGATGGGAAATGCATCAGATGTGTGCTTTGGATGGACAAATGAATTATTCTCTTTCAGTCCTTGTCTTGTATTTTGTCTCTACAGAGTGGTTTTTAGTGTTTGTGCTGAGAATAAGCAATAGTTGCAATTTGAAATCTCTTTTGCAGAGATTTGGCTATTTATCAGAGAAAGGGTTCAGTGTCATTATAGGTAATATGAAATCTTTTTGACAAATACAAAGTCGAAGACGACTCCTGATGAAATGTGTTAGACGCACCTTACATTCCACAGCCGCAATGCCCGAGGCTCCAAGAAAAGGGCTTCTTCAGTTACTAATAAGGCTCTTGTGTTCGAGGTCGGAAGCCTCGGCCAGCATGTTTTGCGAGTCTTGGAGCATGTCCAGTTTGGCTAGAGCCACGGCTTGCAGGTAGAAAGCAGTGGGCCAGTCGGGGTATATACATTGTGCTTGCATCGCATCTCGGAGGGCAGCATCTGGTTCTTCACAGAAGAGATGGCACACACATCTCCTCGCGTAAATAGTTGGAGAAAGCATTATCCCTGTCTCTATAAACTGCAAAAAAATCAGGAGACACAGAACCAATCTTGATTTTTGGATTTAAGCTCTCATACCCTCTTAAGCTTCAACCTTTTCATTGCTTAAAGCCTTCAAGTTTCACGAAGAAAATGAAACCAGAACTGAATTCAGTTCCATCTTCAGATTTCGATGACGAATTCTGGTACCATCTTATGTCTGAAACTCTACCGTGTATTCAATCTAACACCACAACCCAGAAGAGCAGATTACCATTTGGCATAAAACTAAGCTAAAAGAACCGAAGTTCTCGGGATCCATCTCCTTCATCAACTTCAATACCCTAGAAATCATAATCCTACGTCTCAGAAACCCATTATTTTGTATTTCCTCAATTGAAAGCAAGAAGGATCCGGAACACTCGCATCCAATACAGTGACAAAAGAGCTGAAATATCGATTCTGTTTTCGGATTTCGATTAAAATTACTTAAGACCCCACAGAATTCAATCAAACACCACAGCACAGAAGGATAAATAACCCATAAATAACCCATTGACGGGCGGGCGTAGGTTCTTTTCGTCTAATGATAAGATTCAGAATCCATACCTGAGTATACTTCTCTATAGCAGATTTGAAGTCTCTGGCACGGAAAGCCGAGTCGCCTCGCTGTCTCGTGTCCCACACATCTTTTATTTGTTGAGCCCATTGTTGGAAAGAGAGCTGATAAACCAAAAAAGCAAAGATACATTCAGAAAAAGCCTAGGCATGGTGGAGATTATTTGTAAACTGATTTCAGATGCTTTGGTGATTGATTACCTCGCATGTTCCCTCGTCGCCCGCATATTCAGTTGCTTCGAGAATCTGGTGAAGGGCAGTGAGGTCCATACGAGAACAGGCGTCGTAGATAGGAGAATGAGGGTGTTGTGTAGGAGGTGCCTCGAATTGTGGTATCCCAAGCATAACATGCGATGGAATCTATTGAACAGGGAAAACAAAACAAAACTGAAGCTAAAACATTCCCCAATGCAATCTGGCTTTGGCATTGACGCGTATTGGTAGAGATAGAACTTCTTTGATGACACAGATAAACACAGCTCAAAACAAGTGGCTGTGAGATTTTATGTTGTCAGATATGGGAAGTCATCATCTCAACAATCGAAGCGGACATGTATAAACGAAACAGAACATGGCCCATGCAAATATTGAGTAACTCTTTTTTTCTTTTCTGGGGAAAGGATAAAGTATCAGAGTACGAATATGTTGGGCACTCAGGGGGAAAAGCATGAAGTTAACTTACATCCAGTTTGTGTTGAAGGGCAGCGATTATAGAGACGATATCTTTGATGTCTGGTCGGTCTCGGGGTTCATTTTGAAGGCATTTGCAAGCAAGATCAAACACCAAGGCAGCTTCTTCCGGTGGATAATTTCCTTCTAGATGTGAATCCATCAAGACAAGTATGTTTTGCTTTTGAATCGTATCAAGAGCCTGCATAGACAACAATAGAATATAATATCTTACAAGCGGAGCAATGACGAAACTCCTGTTTTGGAAGCTGGCCGGACCAATGGATCTGCTGCCTTACAAATATACGAGTATCAAATGCCGACAGGTCAATTACGCGAGATACTCACGTGGCCTGGAGGGATGTGTTTTGCACTGAGAAGATCCAAAAGAAATGTCCCAAAACTGAAGATAACACTTTCTGGAAGTAATGTCCCTACACACTCTAATGGTTTTGGAGCTATCTTTGTAGTTGTGGACAGGTTTAGT